GCTGACGAACACACACACGGCCCAGCGAAGCGCGCGACTGTCCATCCCGGAGTCGAGCATCCAGCAAGACTAGCTGCGCCAATGCCTCCAAGGCACAAATGCAGGATTGCAGCGACTGTACCTGCTTTCCGTCATCATCATGCAAGAACCAGGTTGGCAAATCCACCCGGCGTATGTAGCACGAAAAATACTTGACATTGGCCAAGCTCAGCGCACAGCCTGGCGGGAGCCACCACCCCCCCAGGCCGGCCACATCCCTTTCCGCAAACGCATCAGCAGCCGCCACAACGCACGGCCCCTCCTTTTCCACAAGGTGGACTGGTGAGGTGGCTTGTACTATTCGGAGAAAGAACAAAGCAACGCTAGACTCCTCCTTCGTGGCCTGGACGCAGCTTGCATCAAAGTCCCCAAACTTCACCCACACGCGACCATTTTTAAATTCACAATCCTGAAACCATGAATTCCAAACAATCTGCCCACCACACTCCAGCAGCTTCCACCCGGCTTGGGCGTCACACAACTGTGCCCGCTGTAAGAGTCTCGCACGACTGTCCAACAACTCCAGCACTTCTGCCAACTGGGCCCGGTCCAAGGGGAGAAAGCGCAACACCGGCTTCAGCAGCATTCGGAACCAAATGGCCATCCTTAAGCCACCGGGCTCCGCATGTGTACCAAGACAACAGCCCCACCAGGGACTCAAGTTCGCGCCTGCTGTGACGCGAGCCTACGCGCGCCACTGCCGATAAAGCGGCCACTAGCCGAACTGACTTATCTTCGGGCAGAGTCGCACACAACTTTCCTCCCAAATTGAAGAGCCAGCCAATCCAGCGCACCTGCTTACCAAGATACAACTTATGCCATGACAGTGGCACGCCAAGGGCACAGGCCAGCAAGATCTGCAAACAAGCTAATACTTTCGCGGAGCTCGAAGGCAATAGGCTCAAGCTGTCATCAACATAGATGGACAGGAAATGCGATATGATGGCAATCAACACGCGCGTTAATCGAATCAGCCCTGCTGCAACACGCGCCCACCAGAAGGCCGCCCAGGCGCAGCCGAAATGACAGGTTTTGTAGACCAGCCAATGTGTACGACCAGACTCATCAATAACAGTAAATAAAGACAGCCCTTGCTCAGAGTGACGCACCTTCACGCGCTTGTGCGCCTTACTGACATCAAGCACGAAGGCCGTCCAGTCCTCATTCGGACGGCGCGAAACAAGCTGCGCAACATCCTCCAGCGCTGGCAACTCGATCTTCTCAGATACCCGGCAGAGCAAATTAGCGTTAGACACAGTGCTGTCGCCTACAAGTCGCGGCGGCGCGCCATCCTTGTGAACTAGCCCTAACTGGCCTGCGGCACAATGATCCCCAAACTTCGCACGAGCCTGGGCCAAACCTCCGGGCAGCCATTCTGCAAAGCCGCAATCCGCCCTGATCCCCAAGGCGCATCATGCACAAGCAGCTCCAGATCCGGCCGCTCCGCGACCTCCACTTCGCGCCATACGCCGGAAGGCGGGATTGTGTTCACAACGCCTGTAGACACACCATGCTCTAGTAGACGAGGGAGCTCCGCATCCACATCCTGCGTGACTGTAAATAGACCATCCCAGAGCTCAAGTGCAAGCGGCTGACCAGGCACAACACGCTCAGAACGCTCAATCCCCTGCTCTCTCAAGAAAGAAACAACGTCAAAACGAAGTTGCTGTATCTCTCCATCACTCAGCAATGGATTACGCGCTCCTGACGCTATTGCGCTGACTAGCCTTTGCTCCAGGCCCCACTGTTCAATACGCTGAAGCCACAGGCGCCGCAACTGCTTTAGCGAATCAGCTGCTCGAGGATAAAACCAATCTGCATCGGAGTGGATACCACCCCCATCATGCAGCCGCAGTGCATCCTCGCGACTGCGCAGACCCTTAGCACAATCAGCGCTCTCACGCTGGCCCACAGCCTTCCTGGCCGGTCGCGCCGGCGTCTCCGCCCACAACACCGGCTCCACTGCAGGCGCAGCTCAGGGCAACCCCTGCTGCTTGGGACAAATGGCCGCATGATGCTTGACATCGCCACACACTGCGCATTCATGCTTGAAGCGGCAAAACTTGGACACGCAGCGTCCCTCCACCCAGTCCCAGCATTCTCCGTTGCGCAGACGCTTGCTGGCAGCGCCCTTCGCGCCCAGGCAGCTTTTGCGCCTTTGAGTGCCTGG